AGGTAAAAAAGTTATTTTATACTGATTGGATAACGGAATTACATTAACTTCCTAATTTGATAACAATTAATTTTTGATAAGTATATTTAGGTGGAATTGACGCGTAATAGTAATGATAAGCTTTTTTTTTTTAGGGAAAAATGGAAAATCAAATTGTCCAAGAAGAACAAAATGATCTATCAATTAAAGAGAGCACAACACAACCCAATCCCCCAGTAGAATTAGACAAAACTGACGAGAAAGAAAATCCAAATAATACTGAATTGCCTGAGATGTCAAACCAAACTGCTGATGCTAACGTTGACAACCAAACACTTAATTTGGGCATTGCACAAAAAAAGAAAAAGAAGAAAAAAAAAAAGAAAAAACCAGTTGATAGTTTAACGGAGGAACTTTTATTTGTTGATCCTGGTGAAAAAGAAGTTGATGATAACGAACGTTATAATCCGTAAGCTTCCAAATATTATATTTATATATTTATATACATATTATTAATATTTGTAAAGTGTGTGTGCCTTTTTTCTCCTATTAATTCTCAATGAATTAATTATTTTTTAATATATAGCTCACGATCAGTAACCCTTCGAATTGAAACTGCAATACAAAGATTCAAAGATACTCGTAAATTTTCTTCAACTCGTAACCAAGTATTTAGTTCTTATCTTCGTTTTGGAGGAGTCAAGACAGGTCAAAATTCATTTTTAGGTCAACAGGATATCGAAGATCCAGAAGCCACCAGTGAAGACATTACTATGAGAAAATCAACAGACTTTATTCAAGATGACGGTGATGAAGATGAGGGTGAAATAATAGTAGATTTTACATACGTAGTTAAGGCTTATTTATCTAGTTATTTTATCGATAAATCAGGCTATGTGCAATTAGAACAATTTCGTGAAGCACCTTTAGTTGTGTCATCATTTTTAAATTATTTAGTTAGACATAATGTGTGCCCAGAATACTCTGACGATATATCAAGGGCAATGGAATTTACTGAACGTGCTAAAATAGAGTTGCCAAATTGTAAAAGTTTAGCATTGACTGCTTTTCACAAATTTAATAAGGCATGTTCTATATTGTATGGTGGTGAATTATATGGTATTTTCGATGATCCTTGGGATTTAGAAAATGTTATAAAGTATATGAAAATCTCTTTAAGTGAAGCCAAAGAAATTATTAATAAAGTATTTGGAGAAGATGCTTTAAAAGATGGATGTCTTTACCGCGTTGAATCAGCCACAAGAAAAGCACTTAAAGTGGAAATAATTGATATAGAAAAACTACCAGAAAAGAAATCAAGTGATCAATCTTTAAAAGATGATAAAGATTATAAAAAAGTAGACGAAAAAGTCGATAAGAAAGATGATGATATGAAAAATGATGAGAAGAATGATGAGAAGAATGATGAGAAGAATGATGAGAAGAATGATGAGAAAAATGATGAGAAAAATGAAGATAAAGTTGATAAGAATGTTGAAAAGACAGATGATGATATGAAAATTGAAGAGAATGATGAAAAGAAAGTCGATGAGAAAGTTGAAAAGAAAGTTGATGAGAAAGTTGATGATGTGAAAATCGAAGAGAATGATGATATGAAAGTTGATGCGAAAAATAAGAAGAAAATTGATGAGAAAGTTGATATGGAAGTTGATGAGAAAGTTAAAATGGAAGTTGATGAGAAAGTCAACGATGCGAAAGTTGATGAAAAAATCGATGACGTGAAAATTGAAGAGAATGGTGATAAGAAGGTTGATATGAAAGTTGATATGAAAAATGATAATAAAGATAAGAAAGATGATAATGCAATCAATGAAGATGACAAAGATAATAAAGGTGATAATCCAATTAATAAAAATAAGAAAGACAACGAGAAAGATCATAAGAACGATTCATCATCATCTGCACCTAATGATGTCAACAATACTAAAACAGCACCAAAAACCAATGATTCTTTAGATGATGATAAAGATAACAAAACCGATGATAGAATAAGACTTTACAGAATGACAGTCAGAACATGCGAAGAACCAATTGTAGAAACATTTGATGTTCATATTGATTTTGAGACTTTGCAATATGCAATGGTTGGAATGATTGTAATAGCTGATTTTCATCAATTGTCAAATGGGTGGTGGTATTATGATAATGTAACAAATGTTTATCCATCTTATTATGAAGTTTGTGATGAATCTGAAGATGAAGAAGAATAATCTTAGAATAGCAAATGTCTTTTCTTTCTCACTAATTAATATATTGTGAATAGTTTAATTATTTCTCACATATTCGCACATACATTATATATATTCATTCATATATTCATAAAAAAAAATTTTTCTCTTTATTTCTCAGTAAAATTTTCCAAAAGTTAAATGTTGTATATTTTTATATAATTTATTTTATTGTTGTTCTTTTCATAATTAATATCTATGGATTATGATTGTGCAATCATATAATACTATTATTATTATTTAAAAAGTATATTTTCAAACCCATCAAATTTTGTTTAATAAGTGTCAACTGGAATATTGAAAGCAAAATATCTGACAACAGAAGCAACTTTTAAACCAACTCCTGGAAAATTCATTAATGAGTTTACGTTGCTTGGAACAACACCTTCATATTTACTTATTAAAATTTACTTGTTTCAATAATTCTATTTGTTTTAATTTTACTTAATCCTATTGGATAAATTATATTTGTTATTTCTACTTTTTTTAATTTTAACATAGATTCAACATTAGAAGCTAAATTTAATAATTTTTCAAGCACAAGGAATGGATATTTTGTCTTTTGCCCTAATAGATAAAATAGATCTTATTAAGCAGAAATATGGATCTTCTGTTGTGGGTTCTTTGTCTGACATTAAACAAATTAATTCCCATTGTTTTTGATAAATAGATGAATGCTTTAGCATTAAGTTTTATTTATGAATTTTATACATGGAGTTTCGAATCAACATATTCTTCTAATCTTTATAGATATCTAGACAAAATAGAAAGTAAAAAAGAAAATATGGAAAAATATTATGTATTATCAAAACATTCTCATACCTTAAGAGGGTAATTCCTTTCATTATTATTCCATTTCTAAATCATCTTAATGAAATTATATTTGGATTAACATTTAGTTTGATAATTAACATATATAATAAAGTGAAAATTTTTTTTTTGATGTTCTATGTTTTTTGTTGTTATATTTTTTACCTGTTACAAATCTTTTCAACATTATACAACATCAGCTCCTCAAAAATCAAATCTTGGATAAAGCTAGATCCCTAGCTGAAGTCGTGGAATGAGCCTCTTGGCCTTAGGTGAAGTTGTGTATGAAGTAGCCTTCAAATTAATAGGTATCTGAAATGACAGAATGACAGTGCTAGTCGTTAATAGACATGATTAGATCGAAAAGTGATACATTCTCTATAATCTTACCTTTCGCATTGTGATCCATATTTGAGAAGGAATCAAAGAAAATGAAATATGTTTAACTAGTTATAGTAAAAAGTTTTTTTTTTTTAAGACAACAAATTTTTTGTGTGTCAATTTTCGTCATACTAATACAGAAGATTGTCGGATCGAATTTATCTTTTAATTAAATCTTTTATGATTTTTTTAATTTTGTCATTTTATTAAAGTTATTTAATTTAATATATTAAAAAAAAAATATATTTAAAAATGTTGGAAATCGAAAATAAAACTGAAAAATATCTATAGAATAAAAAACCAATCAATCCAACCAACTAATCAAATATCAAACAAATGTCCTACGACGAATACTATAACAACAATAACAATAGAATCAACAACTACAACATCAACAGCAATATTAGTAATAATAAATCAATTAGAAAAAATATTTACCTGATTCTGTTAATAATCTTTTTTTTTGTAATTTCTTCTTCTGCTTCACCATCACCACAACAACAATCGCAATTGATGATGAAGAACAACAACCAAAAAAGATTTGTTGGTTATGGTGATGTCGATGGAGCAATCTTAACATTGTTAGCAAAAAGGTCAGCACCTGCTAATAGAAGAATTAAGTTATTAAAAAAGAGACAAGGTGGGGATGATGAATA